CAGGTGATTCGCGCCCCCGAGTCCGGCCCGGCGGGCGATTGCGGCCCGGGAGCCCCGGCTCGCTACGCCAATGTCCCGCCTGGCGGCTTCGAGCCCCTTCCCGCCGCGCCGCCTGCCTCCTTCAAGCCGCCGCCCGACGCCTTCCAGCCCTTGCTGCAACCGCAGCAGGCGCCTCCGCCGAGCACCTTCCAGCCGCCGGCCGCGGGCTTCCCGTACGGCGGAGGCGCCCTGCAGCCCTCGCCTCAGCAGCTCTACGGCGGCGGCTACCAGGCCAGCCAGGGCAGCGACGATGACTGGGACGACGAGTGGGACGACAGCTCCACGGTGGCCGATGAGCCGGGCGCGCTGGGCAGCGGCGCGTACCCGGACCTCGACGGCTCATCGTCCGCGGGCGGCGCGGCCGGCCGCTACCGTCTGTCCACGCGCTCCGACCTGTCGCTGGGCTCCCGCGGCGGCTCGGCGCCCGCGCAGCACCACCCGTCGGGGGCCAAGAGCTCGGCCACCGTAAGCCGCAACCTCAACCGCTTCTCCACCTTCGTCAAATCGGGCGGCGAGGCCTTCGTGCTGGGTGAAGCGTCTGGCTTCGTGAAGGATGGGGACAAGCTGTGCGTGGTGCTGGGGCCCTATGGCCCCGAATGGCAGGAGAACCCTTACCCCTTCCAGTGCACCATCGACGATCCCACCAAACAGACCAAGTTCAAGGGCATGAAGAGCTATATCTCCTACAAGCTGGTCCCCACGCACACGCAGGTGCCGGTACACCGGCGCTACAAGCACTTCGACTGGCTGTACGCGCGCCTGGCCGAGAAGTTCCCCGTCATCTCGGTGCCCCACCTGCCCGAGAAACAGGCCACTGGCCGCTTCGAGGAGGACTTCATCTCCAAACGCAGGAAGGGCCTGATCTGGTGGATGAACCACATGGCCAGCCACCCGGTGCTGGCGCAGTGCGACGTCTTCCAGCACTTCCTGACCTGCCCCAGCAGCACGGACGAGAAGGCCTGGAAACAGGGCAAGAGGAAGGCCGAGAAAGATGAGATGGTGGGCGCCAACTTCTTCCTGACCCTGAGCACACCCCCCGCCGCCGCCCTCGACCTGCAGGAGGTGGAGAGCAAGATCGATGGCTTCAAGTGCTTCACCAAGAAGATGGACGACAGCGCGCTGCAGCTCAACCACACGGCCAATGAGTTCGCGCGCAAGCAGGTGACGGGCTTCAAGAAGGAGTATCAGAAGGTGGGCCAGTCCTTCCGCGGCCTCAGCCAGGCCTTTGAGCTGGACCAGCAGGCCTTCTCGGCCGGCCTGAACCAGGCCATCGCCTTCACCGGAGATGCCTACGACGCCATTGGCGAGCTCTTTGCCGAGCAGCCCAGGCAGGACCTGGACCCCGTCATGGACCTGTTAGCGCTGTATCAGGGGCACCTGGCCAACTTCCCCGACATCATTCACGTTCAGAAAGGTAAAGCCTGGCCATTACAGCACATGGTCCGGAATATGTTGTTGAGGCAGAAAGGGATGATTTGGACAGAAATACCATAATCTGTTTCAGACTAGTGCCCGAGAGGTTGGGAATCAAGCAGGGATGTGGACAGCTGGCCTGTTTTTCCTAGTGTATGATGGATTGCGGGCCGGTAGCTGCCTCCGTAAAGTATTTCCAGACAGGGAGTGGGTACTATTCAGAGAAAGTTCTGAGAGTACTTCTTATGACAGTGCTATCATTTTAGAGTTTGAATAGTTGGGTAATGAGCTTCTGGGATCTGTAATCTTGTGCCTAGGGTAGAATTAGAAGAGGACCCAAACTCTGTTAGGCATCTATTTGAACACTGTAGGGTCACTTAGTGATGGGTTTAAGGAAGCACGGAAATAATGGGGAAGGACGGATATCTGCAAATAAAGGTTGGATATCTGCAAGTAAAGGTAAGTCCGCTTCTACCTTCCACACCTCTCAATCCCTGGTTTGGTAGAGGAATTAGAATCAATTCTCTGAGGTTCTAGCCAGGGCAATTTAAGAGTGTCCTGCATAGACTTCTTGCTTTCAACCTTTGTAGAATGAGGTAAAAGGCTCACTCTAATTTCAAGAAGTTTTAAGAAAAATCTCTTTAATCTCAGTCATTTTGAGTTTGGAGTCTATTAACCCACTGAATTTAAAGAGTATTATTTAGGAAAATGATGTAGGGAAACTACAAAGAATGCACAAAATCTGAGTATTATGTCTGAGGGCAGTGCTTCTGGTATTCCAGTAGTTAGCTGCCCAACTGTCAGCTTGTTTCATTATTAGTTGTTAGTGTCCCTTTTGTTAAAGCACTAAAATTTGCAGATTTTTTTTTCTTAGAAAATAAATTAGAGCAGTAAAGCCTGGAGTGAGAGGATGGGGAGGCGTTGGACTTTAGGGAGGTGGTCTTGCCTGTGAATGTCTCCTGTTCAGTGGGGGGGGGGGGGGGGGAGTTACCTAATCTAACCTCTGTGATGGTGGAAACCTCTTTGAGTCATGAGGTTTGGCCTTCAATAAGGAGGTGCTCACTGCCTTTCTAGGTGGGCCAGTGCAATTATGAACAACCCTGAACTTCTGACATAGTTTTCCTTGCACTGAACTAAAATTTGCCTCTCTCCTTTGTTCTCTTCCCTGGAACCACACACAGTAAGTCTATTCCTCGTCCACACGTGAGCCCTTTACACTTTGGGAGATAGCAGTCTTGCTTCCTTCCCTTCCCTCTGCTGCTTTCCTCCCCCTTTCAAGTGTGTGACTAGTCTTCTTACTCCCCAAAGGGGGGCTCCTTCCAAAGCCTTGAATGTGGTGTTGGCCCTGCTAAAATGCAGTATCCTGAAGCATCTGCAGTACTAATTTTGGTAGAAAATAGTAACTTTCTTGGCAATTCACATTTTGTAAATGCAGCCTGAGATTCAATAGCTGTTTGAGCAACCATACTGAACCCGCATCTACATTCCTCATGTCTTTTTGTGTGTAAATTGCCGTGACTCCTTGACTTTTTGGCTGGTGCCAGTGGGACTGACTCTTTGAGCTTTTAATGCAGGACCTTATATTTAAATGCCGTTGTGTTATATCAACCTGGAACCATGCTGCCTTTTTACGGATTTTGTGAGTTTATGCAAATGGTTGGTAAAAGTTGAAAGGGTGGAGACAAGTACAGACATCTGCAGGCAGAGAGAGACCAGTGACTGGCTACTACAGGGTTGCATCAGTTCATTCACTGACTTTACTGTCACTAGACCACACACAGCTTTGTCAAGTGTCCTGCCATTGGAACTATTTATTAGAAAAGGTATGGTGTTTGTTCTAAGGTCGATTTTGAGTTTACAGCAGTAGTTTTTGTAGTTTATTAAACTGTGTAGTTTGCTTATTTTTTTTTTAAATCCTAGAACTAAAATTGTATTCAGTTTCTTGGGATTTGAAAAACTTAATTAAAACCAGTACCATTTTATGTTGTTTAAACAAATTCAAGGGCCCTAAACATAATCTTTAGGAAGTTCAGAAAGAAAATCAGTTAATATTAAGTATAGTTTGTTTCTGCTGTAGCCTTGGTATATAATGTACAGGGAGTGAGTGTCCCTAGATAACATGTCTTTAGAATGTACTTGCTGTTTAAAGCTATAGTGTGCAGTGCATAACGCTAAAAGGATTTGCTTGCAACCAGTTTTTATCAAGGATGCTAGTGTTGGTGATTTTTAGGAATACAGATGAGACAAATTTCATAAGTTATGCTAAAGCTTTTTGAACATGTTCTGAATATTCAGAACTTGTGGTTGTGAAGAGCAGCTCCCTGCCCTGCCCCCCTAACTTAACCACACAGTTGCTATTGGAATGAATCTTTTTTAGTCTGAGCACTTGGGGATTTTGTTGACAGGTTGTTTTTTTCCTCTAAGGTCTCAAAGTGTAATCACATGAAAGATTTTACTTTGACTTTTGAGAGGAGAACAAAAAGAAGAAAAAAATAAAAAAAATCTTTAGGCAGCTTAAGCTATCTTTTAAGTATTTGGTTCAAAGTTTACATTTCAATTTAGGGAGAAATTTAAAAATTCAAAATAATTATTTCAACTCTTAAGTTCTCATTGTTTACAGGAAGAGAAAAAACAGTTTTAGCGCTTCTACGTTTGACGTGTTCTAATCAGATGTTAGGTCCGCATTCAGATGAGACAGAAATGATTAGAATGTGCTTTTCAGTGACTAACACAGTTAAGAAGGGGAGTTAATTAAGTTTTTTCCCCCCTTAATTCCTAGGAACATTAGTCTCCTCTGAGCTTTTTTCTTATCCGGGAGACTGCTGTGGTCAGCTTTTCCAGTGTTCTAAACCTGTGCTGTTCGGTGCTGGGTCTGTGAGCCACATCTGACTGTTTAAATATAAGTTAGTTAAAATAAAATAATATAATTCAGTTCCTTAATCACACTAGCTGTATTTCATGTGCTTTGTAGCTAGTGGCTACCACATTGGACAACAGATACAGAACAGACCATTTCATCACTGCTGAGGGTTCTATGGGATAGTGCTGTGCTATCACAGTCTGTCAATCCTTTCAGATTTCTCCAGCAGTTGATAATCTTTGCACATACTCTCTAGATAGTCTTCTTTTCACTTGGTCATCTCATGGCATCCCCTCCTTTCTACATGGGCTTAAGTGATAAAAACCGGGAGGGGAAGCATGCCCTGCCAGACCCCTCTCTACAGAACATCCCAGGCACTCAACCAGTGAGTAATATTTCTGCGGTGTGAGGATGTTCATCTGCTTTGCATCCTGCCTTCATTGTTCATTCAGAAAATACAACTGGTTTCAGAATGGACATCTGAAACTGGTGAGGAACCAGCTCCAGAACGAGCGTGGAAAACTTAAATGCCCTTAAATGTGGTCGACTGACATTTTTCTGACTATATTTAGTACTAAAACCATTGCTTAAACTTAATAATGGTTTTAGTGTAAGTACTTTCTGCAGAAGCAAAGAAAGCCATATGGTTTCTTTTTTTTTTTTTAAAGATTTTTTATTTATTTACTTGAGAGAGAGAGAGAATGAGAGATAGAGAGCACGAGAGGGAAGAGAGTCAGAGGGAGAAGCAGACTCCCTGCTGAGCAGGGAGCCCGATGTGGGACTCGATCCCGGGACTCCAGGATCATGACCTGAGCCGAAGGCAGTCGCTTAACCAACTGAGCCACCCAGGCGCCCAAGCCATATGGTTTCTTTAGCGAAAAGAGAATTCTAGAATTCTAATTTTTTTCATCAACTCATGGAGTCTAGATAAACAGACCTATTTTGGTTAATGGAGTTGAGTGTAGGAAGAAGGCAGTTTGCTGTAGTCTGAAGTATAGTAGATGGGAATTCAGAAGCTGTTTGAATTTTATTCATACTTTGCTCTGTCTTAACAGGAGTCCCTTAAATTCTTTGTTCACAGGCGGCTCACTGATTCCTGACTAGTCACATGTCTGTCACTGCCGAGCTTTGTAACTCTGTGGTCTGATTTTCTTTTTTTGAAATGGTAGCATTTTATCTCCTCCCATTTATCATCCTTGCCTGGGGTATGCCTTTAGAATGCTGATGTTGGCCAGTTTGGCGTAGTACATAGAATTGATTTCACTATCAGTTTCTTAGCTTACTCGGTTCTGTTTCCAAAGGTATGATTAATCTCTAATATTTAATAAAGCTTAATCTGGATGGCAGTGAGTTGTGGTTTAAAAGCATTAAGCTAATTTCCTGGGGGATATCGTGAAAGAGAAAGACTGTAAATGTGGGGTGATGAGAAATGTTGGTTTCATCTTTATTTAGGAATGTGGACTGGATAGCAGGAGGGAGTCACTTAAAAGGAAATTTCTTTATTCCTGAGAAAAGGTACAAGGTACAGGAAAAGTGATTTGTTGATAAAATGTAGTGTGAGTCTATGAAGCAGGGTGGCAGAACTAGGTAAACAGACAGGCAGTCCTGTTTTCTGTACTCCTAAATTAAATATGCAGGGTGTCCACATTGCCTTCGGTAAACGTTCCAGATGGAGCCTTCTTTTCAACAAAACACAGCCCTGGGACCTCACGAATGGTACACCAGTCGTGGGCTTGTCAGTTCTCCGGGGTAGAGTTTCACCATTGTGCTTCCTTTTACCACATGCAGGGTCCGTCTTATGTCCCTCAGACATTAATTAAAGCTAGCTAGAGTCCTGACAGGGCCCCTAAGGTAAGACGGGGCCACAGTTAGCCCTTCCCTGTCTGCTCCGCATTCTTCTATGACTAAAAATAGACCTGAGACGGTGGTGTCATGAATACAGAGAAAAGGTCTAATAAGTGGGCTGTTTACAAACTCATCCTTATTTTGAAACTTCTGGGCTAGAAATTGAGGTTGTTCATTTTTTGTTTTGTTTTGTTTTAGCTCCATTTTAGTTGAATCCATTTCTCCTTTCCCCTACTTCCACCTCCAGCTGTTTTTTAAGGAGACTTCAGTTCTAGCTGTAACCTTTGTCCCTATCTGTATTTTCTTAATGAAAAGGAGGTTACCTTTGGGGCTTTTGAAAGAGATGACTGAGTTCTTTTGGTAAAATGTCAATGTGACCAGCCACAGACAGTCTTGATCATGAAGCTAGGTGGGGATACTGCTTATATCACCCTGTCATTGGTTTCTCAGACTTCTTTTTTGAGCTAGGAATCCTTCTGGAAATCACACTGGGGAATCATAGCCTGTTAGACTGATCACAGTAGAATCAAAAGGAGGCAGGTACCTCCACTTCCACTCATGTTTTTAGATAACTCTTGGGCTCAGTTGGATTTCCCTCTTTATTGGGAAATGTTATCCCACAGGTTCCTATCTGGTCATCTTAGGATTTCCAAACAGGAAGGCAGAACCCAAACAAAGAAGAAGTTCTTTGTGAGAAGGTATCAATTCTCTTATAAACATGACAATTCCTTTAAATTATGTTCTTTTTCTTCAGGCTAAATAAAAAGGTACTGCTTTATTGTTTCAAAGTGTTTTAAAATCAAAGTTTAATATGAAGTTCGATTTAATTTGCCATGTATTTATGAAACTTTGTGATACCACAGACTAAATGATTATCACAAGTAAAATGGCACAGTAATGCTTAGCTCTTGTTTGGAGAGACTGTACTCAGAGGACCTGTCCCATCTGTTGCCCTTCACTTAGCACAGGCTAGATGCCCATGTGGAGGGGGATCGGCAGGACTCTGGTCCTCACTGAGTTCTTGGACTCGTGGCAGAGAAGCCAGGTGCCAGGTCGCTGAGAGCCCTCCCAGGGCGACGCAGAAGAGATGGGGCTGGCCTGGGTCTGTCAAGGGAGCTTAGCCCCACAAACAAAGGGGGTTCATGGTAAACCAAGGGCCCCATGTTCAGAGTCTTCCTCACTGTGGGCCACTCTGGAATCTGGGGACCACTGTGGGGCTGTGAGAGGAGCTTTGGGCAAGTTAAGTTATTTTAGCCTTGGCAAGTCTCAGGTTCCTTATTGGTAAAGTGGGCACGCTTCCTCAGAAGGTCACATTGAGGATTAAATCTTGTGGTTCTCAGTAGTTACTCACTAAATGATTGATTTTGAAAAGTAGAAAGATACTTTGAAAACAGGAAGCACTCTTCTTTAAAAGACAATTCCAGTAATCTAATCTTCCATCCTGGTAGCCTACTGCCACCAGAAGTGCAGGCAAAAGTATAAAAACCCAATAAGTCATTGGTTGGCATAGCAGTTAAATATTGTATTTTAACACGGCTGGTGTGTACTGCACACCAGAAGTATGGTAGCAGAAATAAATGCCAGTGTTATTTAGAGTCACTGGTGTGTTGTTCACATTAAGGGTTTGTCAGCCAGCTGTTCCTTTCCTCTAAATTACTTGTATCCTTGCACAAATCACTTTGACATTTCTGAGCTTCAGTACCCTCATCTGTAAATATGAGATTCATGATCTCCTAGGTATCATTTGTTGATTGACTTTAAAAAAAAAAAGCAACATCCATACACTGAAAATAAAATAGGAAAGTATACGGTGAACATTTAGATATCGTTTCAGGCTGGTTTCAATAGCATGCTCTCTACTTGTGTGATTTTGTAATCTGGGAGCATGAACATCCTTTATCAGTTGATATGGGCACCTGGCAAGTTGATGTGAAAGAAAATTCATGAACTTTTGGTTCAGATCAGCAAACATGCATTGAGGGCTGACCCCACCAGGTGCTGTGCGCGTCAAAGTGATGACAGTTCTCTGCCTTCTGCCGCTGGTGAGTGCTCCCTGGTGTCCGGAAGCTGAGGTGCACTGGACAGCTGGAGGAGTCCCCTCTGAGCCGAAGGAGGGCTGTCACCAGTAGAGCCCCCAGAAAGAGACATTGCGATAGGCTTTCCCTCCCACAAAGTGTGCTTCACTTTGAACTCTAAATACTGTCTCCTCTCCAAAAGTAGAAACAGTCATGTATTGTTAATCTTGTATTTGTAGCTTGATTAAACTTGAGTGTGAATGAGTGTTAACTTCACTTGTCATTTTTACTCCTTTTCTTAGACTTTTTTTTTTTTATCTCACTGTAATTGGACTTTTCTGATAAGGAAATTCTTTGTATTATTTGACAGGGAGGGAGACAGCAGTTAGGGAGGAGAGCCAAGATCATTAGATTTATTCAGTGGATCCTCTGAGAGAGAAATCTGATTTTATTCAACAAATATGTAAGTGCCCATTACAGATCGGGCACTATTAAAGATGCTCGGGTTGCATCAGTGGTCAAAACAAAGATCACCGCCCTCGTGGAGCTTACATTCGAGCGGGGCGGAGACGCAAAGGAAAACACAATGAGTACATTATCATGTATGTGATAGGGGAAAACATAAATGTGGAGCAGGACAAGTGGGCATGGGGAGGCAGAATGAAGTAGGAAAAGGGATGATTGACGTAGGTCTCATGAAGAAGGTGAGATTTAAGTGGAAGCGTGGAGGAGGTGAGGGAGTTAGTCAAACCGATGTCTGCGGGGAGAGCCTTTCAGGCAGAGGAGAGAGCGAGAGCAGAGGTGCTACGGTGGGTGTGTGCTGCCAGGCAGTGGAAGGCCAGGTGATTGGAGCTAAGAGGATCTGGGTAGGAGATGAGGTCTTGAAAGGTCCAATTAGTAGGGCTTTGTAGGTCATTGTCAGGACCTAGAGTAAAAGTCCTAGTGAGATGGGAGCCATCACAAGCTTTTGAGCCAAGGAATGACATCTATCTGGACCTTTGAACAGACTTACTCCAGTTGCTCTGTTGACAATAGAATGGAGAGGAGGTAGGGTCCCAAAGGTAGGAGCAGAGAGCCAGTAGGAAACTACCCCAATAATCCAGGTGAGAGACCATGCACGTGTGGACTAGAGTGGGAACAATGGAGATGGCGAGGAGGGAATCCCAGTCTGGATATATTTTAAAGGTAGAATTGTCAGGTTTTCCGAGGGAATCAGATGGGGCACACGAGAGGAAGAGGAGTCATCAAGGGGAACTCTGCAGTTTTTGGTTTGACCAACAATACAAATGGAGTCTCCATCCACTGAAATGAGGAAGGCTGTGAGTGGAAGAGAGGTGGGAATGGGAATCAGGACTTGAGTTTCTTCCTTTTAGATTGATGGCCTCCTACATTCTGTTGACATCTCCCCACCCAACCCATACACAGACAGTCAAGCCTTAGATCTAGTTCCCTCCTCAGAGTTTTCTACTTGGAGCCCTGTCCTTTCCAAGTAGTCCTGGCTGGTAGAATGCTCACTGGTGTGCCAAACAGTGTACATTGTTCGGTTGTGGGGGAGTGTGTGGGGGTCATGTTTTTATGTTCCTCTAATATGTAGCTCCACTATTTTGTATTTGCATAGTTAATGCTTAAGGAATGCTTGTTGAATGAGAAAAGTAGGCACTCAATGGAGTACTTCTTGATTTTGAAATAGATGTCTTCTACTGTAGAATGTGTTTTTCTATTCCTATGATGATGGATACCAGAGTTTATAAAAGAGTATAGGCAATAAAGATAGGATCTGGATATATTTTATAGGTGAAGTCATTAATTAATGTGAAAGTGATTTAAAAGTCTTAAACTTACATATCTATGAAGTAACTTTACAAAACTTAT